GGCCTAGGTAATTGGGCTGAGTTTTATCTCAAATGGGCTGATTACACGCGGTTTCGGGCTCGGTTTTATCTCGGTTCAATGCTTACGATATTCGATGCCTGATTCAACGCGACATTAATTAAGTTAACCCAAAAATAGATATATATATATATATACTCCCTCCTTTTTTAAATAAATGTCGTTTTGACTTTTTTAATTCATCCATTTTTCTATTTATCTAGACATTAAAAATGAGGGAGTATATAATACACATACTATTTTATTAATAAATAAACATTTAATCACACAATAATAGTTAGGCAATTAAGCATTTACTATAAATAATAATAATAATAATAATAATAATGATAATAATAATAATAATAATAATAAAGCAATTAGATTTAAAAAAAAATAACAATATTAATAATGGCGAAATATCCGAGAAATCCATTATTCAAACGGATTACATTCGGTTCACGCGGTTAAACTGAAATCGCCTAACGACGAACGTTTTTAAATAAAACGATCGAACTTTCCAACCTTCTATTTAAGTCGATATCACGACTAATAAATAAATGTAACCTTATAAATAATATTCGATAAATAGAATATTCCAAGAATTTTTATAAATCGAACGGGGCGTTACACCAGTTCTGTTCTTCGGATTTAGATAACCATTTTTCTACAATGGACATCACATTCCAACTCAGATAATGTGCTTTAGAATTTACACAATGTATGCGAGGGTTATATGAAAATGAAAATACTGAATTTCTTGGATAATAAAACACACATTTGTAGAATTTGAACAGAAAAGAATAATACACAAAAGGAGAGAGGTGAACCTGATGCAGACCTTGCAAAAGTAGCATAGGAACTTTCTTCAAACGGAAGAAAAACCATCCTCACAACTAAGCTCCCGGACCCTGAGAGATCAAGCAATTATCTTTCAGAATACTCCAAAGTAGCGGAGGTGGACCCTACTAGTGCTCACACTGGCATTCTCATCGAATGCAACTAGCAAGCAACCTCCTAATGAAAAATTTCTTCTTAATACATTGAATGCTCGCGAAATAATAATGGACCTACCTAATTTGTCCACAAGCCCATAGACTGCTTGGTTATATGGTGTATCCAGCCATACAAGGACCATCTTCTCACCTTCCTGAAGAATCAACTTTCGGAAGGATTGAAGAGTGAAAATCATACACATGTTTGCAAGCGGTCTGTCATACCCTGTTTTGTTCCCTATCCTGCAATAGTTCTATCAGTTTACATAAAAATTGGAAGCATTCTTCTTATGAAAAACATTATGTATTCACATTGGAAAACAAAAGTCTTCATTATACGAAAATTATAAGAGAACAGCCGTTAAATTTCCCGGGTATAACCTTTTTGACACTGCTATTGGATAAAAAAGAAATATTGTACTGACTGAATTACGTCACCTTCTGAAGATAATGATGGGGCCAGAAAGAAAATTAGTACCTTAATGGAAACAGAACGGTTGTTCTATAAACTCGAAATAAAAGGAAGTAGCCCCAATAACCTATGAAAATAGATGCTCCATACGCAACCTGTGATAAGGAAAATACAATTGCTTTCTCCTGAAATGCAAACAATGGTTGATTCAGTCGGCAGTTTAGAAACTTGACTTGTAGACATGAAAAGAGAAAATAAGCATGGGAACAGTGAAGTAGCAAAGCACAGAATATATGAGTGTACTAAAGAGAATTTGGTGGATCAAGAAAATAATCATAGTTTGGAACACCAGAAAAAATACATATCAACACTTCCACAGAAAGATGACGTAAGGCAAATGAAACAAACACAAGGCAACATGTTTAAAAGGAATTGAATCAGCCTCACCAAATGAAGATTCACTTTGAAGGTTCAAAGAATGGTAAACTCCATATGACTAAAATTTGAAGTTTGACACTCCTAAAAAGCACCCTTAATATATATATAAAAAATAAAAAATAAAAAATAAAAAATAAAAAATAAAAAAAAACTAACAATACTAACAAACATCCTCACTATCACAACCCACAAGTGTTATCCATGATAATATATGAGATTTCCATTGTGGTTACTATGTAAAGCAACATAAACACGCGTAAGATGAAATATTACAATTTTCTTGCTCAACTGTATTATTAAAGTAATATAAGCCTTCTAACAGTTTGACTGTACCAGGCTCGGTTGATTCAAGATGAGGACATAAGTTACAATACAGCGGAAAAGAGTGGCTGCAGCTTCAACAATAAGACGCAATCTGAGCAGAACCAAGTTCTGGGACAAAATATAAAGAGGCTCTGCCAGCAGCTCAATTATGCATGCAAAACCTGCATGTGTGTGAACATATTAATTCAGAAGTGTTAAAAGAAGCATTTATGGAACAGAACTTAAATCTTAAGCCAGTGAATCATAATAAGTTAAATGACTGACGCACAAAAATATAGCATCTATGCAATGGTCTTTTATTTCAGAAATAGAATCTAAATTGAACTCCCATCAGTCAGTGAACAAATAAAACAACACCATATGTTTACATTAAGAACATGTATAACACTAAAGAAAACACCAGCAGATGATAAAAAATCAACTAAAACGGAACACATGAACTTTAAAAAGAACAAAATATTTGATGTTGCAATTTTCCATCTTTGGCAGTTAAGCTAGCACTACACATTGAAATTCTTTTAAATTTCTACATCTTATTTTGGAATTAACTGATTTTCACGTTTTCCAAACCCAGCCACTCATGTCACCCCAGCCACTCATGTCCTGGGATACTATAATATCCCTTGTAGTGAACTTAGACAATTAAATAAATAAAGCATGTGACCATGTTTGTGGCTTACCATTAATCAAGATAGCTTTTGCGTATGGACTAGAGTAACTTAGGCCTTGCCACCAGAATACAAACAAACATGCTGCAAATGTCACCAGTATTCATAACGGGGAAGTCATCCAGGCCACTTTCAACAGTTTAGCAGCATTTTTTTCTGTTGCTGAACCATTATGACTGCAAGATGCAGAAATCTGAGCTATCAAATTATACTAAAAAATTCCAAATAATCTAGATAGTCATGAACGTTTGCATGCATACTTCCATCAGAAAATTATCATGGAGATACTAATGCCTAGAAAAAGATATAAAGGCTAATACAATTTGTGTACAAAGTACAAAAACATGTGATGGGCTTTAAATGGCAAAGATGGGATCAGTTTACAATCTTATATTTTCCACAGGCATATTCTGGACGATAATTTTTATGAAGAACCGAAGTCCATGAGCTTCTAAGCACCTTTTTACAACAAATTGGAAATAGCATCATGTATCTGTCCTACCATAAGAAAGATAGAATTGCTATATGATAAGTACAAGGTGCGAACTTCACGATACTTTCACAGCTTCAAGAAAGAAACTAAATCCAAAGTACTGAACACAATCAAGTAATTGACACATGAATAAGAGGAAGGACCAAATTAACGTATTGAAGATAATAACACCATATTTGAAGCATTCACGGTTCCCACCTGAAATCTGCCCTCATGCACGCTCTCCGGAATCCTTCCCTACTCAGAAATAATACACAGGTAACAAACAGATGGAACTGTACCGCATACAACTGTATATTTCAATAAATATCAAGTGTTAGGTAGCACCATCTAAGAAGAAACCACAAAACATATGTAAAGAGTGCTGTTACGAAACTGAAGACACTGGCACATTTGTAACAGTTTTGATCCGATGATAAAAGATCAAAATATAAAAATCCTTCACTTTGAGAAATCTGAATCAAGGTTTTTTTTTTTTT